TTTGAGATGGAGTCTTGCTCTGTCGCCTGGGCTGGAGTGCAGTGGTACAATCTTGGCTCACTGCAACCTCTGCCTCTCAGGTTCAGGCGATTCTCCTGCTTCAGCCTCCCGAGTAGCTAGGATTACAGGTGCATACCACCATGCATAGCTAATTTTTGTATTTTTAGTAGAGATGGGATTTCACCATGTTGGCCAGGCTGGTCTCCCTCGGGTGATCTGCCCTTCTTGGCCTCCCAAAGTGTTGGGATTACAGGTGTGAGCCACTGTGCCTGGCCTTTTTATGTATTTGTCTTCTTAGTAAGATTTTTTTGAATCTGATTCACACAGTGGACTAGAACACTTCTGAAGTCCTTTTGAATGCTGAGGATCTGTAGAATAATCTATGAATTAGTTTTATCCCTGTGTGATTAGTGGGCAGGAATATCTTAGTCTTAGCTAACTAAGCCCAAGCTTCCTGTTCCTTTCATATAAGATTGAGGAAAAGGAAGATGTTCGGGAAGATGAGTTAGTTTTATTAATATGCAAGTAAGAAAATGAGTTGTGGAAAGAAGTCGATGCATGAAAGGTTAAGTGACAAAAAACTAAAAAAAAATTGGAGGTTTAGGAAATCTGCCTTTACCTCACCGGCCACCTCCCTAGTGATCTTAAGAATGCTACATAAAGTTTAAAAACCAAGAACATTTGGACAGATTTTGAAGTTGTGAATTAATGAAAAAGTAATTTCACCTTTAATGATCAGCTCAGTTGCTACTGTACTGCAGACCAATCAGGCATATATAATTGTAAAGTTTCAAGACACTAAAATTAGCATACTCCAACAGTTATTTATATAACAGCTATTTTTTCTAGCATTTATTGGAAATTTCCCAAATTTATTTCAATTCCCTAACCCTATCCCAGCCAATATCATGTTTTGTTTAATGTTTAACATGCTCCTAAGCAGTAAAATAAAATATATAAAATACAGATCTAACCTTCAATGGCTAGAGTTGTATGTCGCCATTTTTTTTGCCTACCTGTAAAAATGACTGACCACACTTTTTCGATGATTAAGCAACACAGATCCCTCTTCCTTTCATTGCCAATTTAATAAAAAAATATAAACTCCTACATTACAAAATGTATTTCATATTGATGGTGCAATGGAAATTTTACAAACACAAACTTTATACAAGGGTGTTAAAAAGCCAATTCCAGAAGCAGCAAAGACATGAAAACAGGAAAGTTCTAGAAAAAGTCTAAATAGATGTATTCATATCTATGAGTGAAAAAGACACTTTCAAAAGTATGTCTGTAAGGCTGGGTACAGTAGCTCATGCCTGTAATGCCAGCATTTGGGAAGGGTGAGGTGGGCAGATTGATTGAGCCCAGGAATTTGACACCAGCCTGGGCAACATGGTGAGACACCGTCTCTACAAAAAATACAAAAATCAGTCCGGTGTGGCAGCGCCCACCTATCCAGCCCAGAAGGTTGAACCTGCAGCGAGCTGTGATCAGGCAAGTGCACTCCAGCCTGGGCGACAGAGTGAGATCCTGTCTCAAAAGAAGAAAAAATTACGGCCAGCACGGTGGCTCACGCCTGTAATCCTAGCACTTTGGGAGGCCGAGGTGGGTGGATCACCTGAGGTCAGGACTTCAAGACCAGCCTGGCCAACATGGTGAAACCCCATCTTTAAAAAAAAAAAAAAAAAAAAAAAATTTACAAAGAACTCATACATATGTATTAATTTTGTATAATTTCTCTAAAAGAATTATTCAAAGATCTCAAAATATCTCACTGATATTTATTTGAGTCTTGTAAGCTTCCATTTCCTATGGTGATATAAGACCATGGGTAGAAAATATCAGTGAATAGAGGAAGACATGCCAAACACCTCATCTGAATAATGTTTTGATTACTCCATGATCTTTTGTCCTTGCACTGCCGCACAGTTAGGTTCAGAGGCTGGTCTTCGAATTAGGTCACCAAAATATGCAGTGATTGTCTTCAGTTTATTGTTAAGGAAGTTCTGTTCTATTTCCACTTGCCCTCCAGGCCCTGCCAAGGATGCCACCTAAAAAGATGAACAGAAGAAAGTCACATGCACACACATAAGCATAATTTCAAAACAGTGTTTCACTCATACTGCTGCATCAAATAATAGGGAGACTCTGGCTTTTAAGTCCTTTGAATAATGAGGCGTGTTCATATTGTGGGAAAGTTAATGGTGCTATGTTGTTGTATAAGGCTTGATATCTCCAATGCCATAGCTAAAGAACTCAGAGGAAGAAAAACATGAACAAATCCTTCCCAAATATCAGGTTTATTTAAAAAAAAAAAATTTTGTTTTCTAACCCTCCTTCCTCCTCCTCCCCAACCAGGTTTATTTTCTAACAAAGATATTTAAAGATTAACTCCCTTCCCTGAAAGCCTTTGTCCTGTTCATCTTACCGTCTGCATCTCACCCTCTCATTCATTCAACAGTATTTACTGAGTACCTGCTACATAATCCTAGCTGTGATCCAGGCCACGATCCCTACTCTCATGAGGAGTCTAGCCGCTATTGACTTTGCCTTCTCTCATTGGTCTCCTTTCGTTTCTCCTACCTTGGACCACCTCTTCTACCGGTTGCCCTTTTGTATATTTTAAATGCTTTCTGCAACAATTGTGGTAAAATACATTGCTCTTTTTGAGGTCTACTAGAACACAGGGACTAACTCCTTTATTAGGAAGCTGAAAGCACCGCTCCCTCTGCACCTCCACAGTTAGCACCAAAAGGATGCTAGCCAAATGACCAGCACTTGATGGGGGGACAGGGGCCATCAGCTGCTAAAGATTCTTTTGTTCCATGACAATAATACTTGCAGTCACCTTCGTACACTGCAAACTAGTAATGTTTTACCCTAAGTTCTAAAACAGGTAAGGTTTTGTTTTGGTTCAGTACTTTTTTTATCCAACCTCTCAGAGATCTTTTAAAATAGCAAAAATGTTACTTTCTAAACCTTGATTACTTCATCAGAATCAGTTTTTTGGGGTAGTAGGAGGAAAGATCATGAGAAGGGAGAATGCAGTGGAGAGCCCTGGCAGGCAGAGAGGAGAAGACACAGCAATAGAGAAAGGGATACCCAGGCCGGGCGTGGTGGCTCATGCCTGCAATCCCAACACTTTAGGAGCCGAGGCGGGTGGATCACAAGGTCAGGAGTCTGAGACCAGCTTGGCCAACATGGTGAAACCCCATCTCTACTAAAAATACAAAAATTAGCCGGGCGCGGTGGTGCACGCCTGCAATCCCAACTACTCGGGAGGCTGAGGCAGGAGAATCACTTGAGCCTGGGAGGCGGAGGTTACAGTGAGCCAAGACTGCGCCACAGTGCTCCAGCCTGGGAGACAGAGCAAGACTTTGTCTCACAAAAAATAAATAAATAAATAAATAAAGGGATACCTAAAGTGTTAGGGACAGCTATAAACAACGAGGGTCAAGCATTTTCTGTAACTGAAATCAGCAAAATTACAGTTGCATATTTTGTAAAAAGAGGTGCTCAGTCAGTCTGATTTGGTTTTAAGGGTTGAGAGAACGTAATCTCAGTGGTATTATGCATACTATACCAGCTTCTGGTAGAAGGGACCATTTATTATGCATTTCCAATGAGTATATAATTTATAGTGTTTTAGCTTCCTCTTAGGAAAAAAAGTCACAGACATAGAAATAGGGAAGAAGCAACTGGTCATTGTGTGGTACATTATTATGTGAAAAATAAGTGAAATACAGTATCCCTTATAATGATTAAATGCATCCCCCTCTACTATCTTTTTGTAAGGAATACTTCAAGTGAAACTAGAAATTTGAAAATAGCCAAGTAGTCCCAGAGTAGCAATTATTAGGAATAAATGTTTTAAATTCTCTTTTGGTATCTTCATGTCAGTCTGATTTTTTTACAAGGAACGGCAAGAAAGGTAATTTTGTCTTTAGCCAACAAAAGGCATTTTGAACAGCATATCATTTTTTCATTAATTTTTCTGAGTTCAGATATAACTCAAGTATAGCATTTCTTCTGTGCCTTTAACAAGTAACTTAATCATCTCCAGTTCTACCAATAATTTGCTGCATCAATTTAAAAAGGCAATTTTTATTGTTGTTAAGGGAGCCATTAAAATAGGCTTTGGTTTTCTAAATCTGAAAAATAGGAATACTATCTATCTTCCTAAAAGAGCATTTTAAAGAAAAGAAAAACCATTTCTGAAGTTTACTTGAAAAAAAATTAAAGGTACTATATAGATGGCTATTATTTCTTATATAAGCTATAAAGAGAATTACATAAAAACCAATTTCTGAGAAGGTAGGGTAGTTTCTTTTGTTCCTCTTAATACCTTTCAGAGGATTATCTAGATGTGGGTGCTTTGGATTAAAATAAAAAAAGAAGGTAAGATGGGAATTTTCTCAGAAATCATGAGTTCTGATTACTCAACAACTATTATTAAGAGCTTATAGGGCTCTGTTCTAGGCAGTGTAGGGTAGCAAAACACAAACGAAAATCCCTGTCTTCATAAATTTTACATTCTAGTTGGGAGAGCCAGATGATGGACAGATAAAACAAACATTGTTCCTTATACTGGAGATGAAGGTGAATCTATGTGACAAAATACAGTGAGAAAACTCTTAGCTACTTAGTGTTTACAAACAAATGGTTTTTTAAAAAAACTAACACGTTACTTTCAAATGTTCGGATTACAAATAATTTCTAACTTTGGCTTTTTTGTACTTTTTCACATTTTCAAAACTACAAATATATTATATATATATTTTTGTGACAGAGTTTCGCTCTTGTTGCCCAGGCTGAAGTGCAATGGCACAATCTTGGCTTACCACAACCTCCGCCTCCTGGGTTCAAGCAATTCTCCTGCCTCAGCCTCCCGAGTAGCTGGAATTACAGGCACGCGCCACCACGCCTGGCTAATTTTGTATTTTTTTTTTTTTTTTGAGACGGAGTTTCACTCACGTTACCCAGGCTGGAGTGCAATGGCGCGATCTCGGCTCAGCGCAACCTCTGCCTCCTGGGTTCAGGCAATTCTCCTGCCTCAGCCTCCTGAGTAGCTGGGATTACAGGCACGCACCACCATGCCCAGCTAATTTTTTGTATTTTTAGTAGAAACGGGGTTTCACCATGTTGACCAGGATGGTCTCGATCTCTTGACTTTATGATCCACCCACCTCGGCCTCCCAAAGTGCTGGGATTACAGGCTTGAGCCACCGTGCCCGGCCCCAAAACTACATATATTTTAAAGGTTAAAATTTTGGAGTTGGAAAGACTGTAAATTTAGTAGTTCAAGCAAGTAACTTTGCTTCAGGCAAATTTAATGCCATTAATTTCTAGCTGTCCTTATTTTTCACTAGAAGGTTTAGCTGACAAAATGTTATTTGGCTCCCTCCCCTTACAATTTAGTAAACTGTGAGAGGAACAGAGGGTAGAGAGATGAAAAATGGCAGAACGGCAGGCAGAAACGGATAAAGATTAGGAGCTATGGGTTACATACTTTTGGCATATTACCTAAATATATTAATTTTACCAAAATAAATCCCAATTAATTTGGACCAGAACTAGAATCAAGGACTAAACTCTCGACTAGATTTGACATCAGGCAGTAAAGTTGTTCTTTGGAGACTGGGAAAGAAGAAACAGAAAAAAGATCACAATGAAGGTGTTAAAACACAGATTAAAGCATCAAATAAACATTCAAAACTGCATTGTTTTTTTTGAGATGGAGTCTTGTTCTGTCACCCAGGCTGGAGCGCAGTGGTGCGATCTCGGCTCACTACAACCTCTGCCTCCCGGGTTTAAGTGATTCTGCTGCCTCAACCTTCTGAGCAGCTGGGATTACAGGCGCTCACCAGCATGTCCGGCTAATTTTTTTGTATTTTTAGTAGAGACGGGGTTTTACCATGTTGGTTAGTCTGGTCTCGAATTCCTGACCTTGTGATCTGCCTGCCTTGGCCTCCCAAAGTGCTGGGATTACAGGCATAAGCCACCGTGCCTAGCCTTTTTTTTTTGAGACAGAGTCTGGCTCTGTCACCGAGGCTGTTGTACAGTGGCACAATCTTGGCCCACTACAGCCTCTGCCCCTGGGTTTAAGTGATTCTCCTGCCTCAGCCTCCCGAGTAGCTGGGATTACAGATGCCTGCCACTGAACCTGGCTAACTTTTGTATTTTTAGTAGAGATGGGGTTTCACTATGTTGGCCAGGCTGGTCTTAAACTCCTGACCTCAGGTGATCCTCCCATTTCAGCTTCCCAAAGTGCTGGGATTACAGGCATGAGCCACCATGCCTGGCCCAAAACTGCATTTTTTTCCCAAAAGAAACTAGATTTAAAGTAAAAGTGCATGATAAGCAAATGAGAGAAAATAACCTCCCAACTGCATCTTACTGGAAGAATATGTAGTAATTACTAATGACAGATACCTTTATTAGAAGAAAGACACAAAAACATCAGAGTGCTGAAAAATGCTCTATTACTACAGGGAAGAGATTATATCTACAATATGCAAAAATGTGGTTAGATGACAATTGTACTGGGTAAAAATAAAGAGCATTTTATGTGGTCTACAGATCTGTGTCAAAACACAATGCTAGCAGCAACAAGCATCCGAAATAGTGGCTGTGCCTACAAACCTAGTATCACACAGGTCAAGTAAGTGCCTCACCACTAGTTCTTTTTGTCCTTCTTTTCCTTTGTTACATCCAACTACCACATGAAAATAACACAAAGTTGGCAAAACATTTCTGATAATTAAAGTTCTCAGAGAGGAGAAAGAAGAATATTCTTTAGTCAGCAGAAAATCATGCATCATTCAAACTTACAAATATTCAAAATTAGTTCAATTTCTCTGCACATGGCAAACAGGAATGAGACGTCTATGCCTAAGTAAATAAATCTTAAGCCCACCATCATCAACAGGAGCACCAGTTGATGCTTCTGTTGATGACCTGGTGACAGGTCAAAAAAATTCTCCCAGGCATCACAAGCTAACCTACACTGAAGTCCTATTGTAGATATAATCTCTTCCTAAGAGGAAGCTACCAGGCCGGACACAGTGGCTCATGCCTGTAATCCCAGAACTTTGGGTGGCAGCAGCAGAAAGATTGCTTTAGACTACAAGTCCAGCCTGGGCAACACAGTGAAATCCTGTCTCTACAAAAAATAAAACACTTAGCCAGGTGTGGTGGTCCACGCATATGGTTCCAGGAACCCTGAAGGCTGAGGTAAGGAGGAGTGCTTGAGCTTGGGAAGTTGAGGCTGCAGTGAGCTGTGATCATGCCACTGTACTCCAGCCTGGTAGATGGAGCGAGACTCTGTCTCCAAAGAAGAAGGAAAAAACCACCCAAACCCAAAAATAACCAGTTCACTAAGCTCTGTCCTTCACTCATTCTCAGAAGTGGAAACATGAAGACTGTACAATTCAACAAGTTACAGAAACTACTAAAAATGCTAATAAGCTGAATTTAGTTATATTTAAAACATTTTCCACACAACAATATTACCTAATAGTTTTTCATATTGATAAACAGTTCATTATTCAAATACTTACAAATCTATTCTTATATATGGTAAGTTTTAGAAATATTTCCTATAAATAAGTACCTCATTACTATCTACCTATCCATCTACCTACCTACCTACCTACCTGCCTACCAAAATAAACTATTAGAAGTGACTGTTACAATTAGGAACGTTTTCCTTCCTCGACATTATAGAACAAAATTTAAAAAGATAATTGGAGCCTCAAGAATTCTGCCAACTAAGGAGAGTCGAATCCCATTATTAAATCTAACATCAATTTTATACTTAAACAATCATAGGGTTTCACTTAAGTATTAGTTAATTTGTAAATGTCTCCACTTTATGAGGAAATAAAAAAGGCAGAATCTGGCCCAAATGTCTAGCTGTTTTACGCCTAATTACAATAATTAAACAAGGATGAGGAGCTGCCACAGCAAACAGACCAGCAGATTTCCTCTCTTCTTTCCTGCCTCGGGCTAAGAGACAAGACTCTTTATGTCAGAGACTCCGCCCACAAGGATTTCAAACAAAGGTTGTGTTTGATAATTGCTGCCTGCATCTTCCTTTGGGAGGGACCAAAAGTCCTTGTCTGTTCAGAGATCTCATCTATTAATATGTTCCATAGGTTTACTACTTAAAAGAGAAATCTTTCATGTTTATGAAGCATGGTAGATCCAAAGCTCAAATTAGCTGGAATTCTCTCGTTGTCCAAGGAAAGAAAGAAAGGAAAGCATGGCAAGATAACAGGCATCAAGCAGATAAAGTATGTTTACACTGGAAAGAATCAGATTTAAGATCCCAGCACTTTAGAAGGTTGAGGCAGGATGATCACTTGAGCCCAGGAATTTGAGGTTGCAGTGAGCTATGATCATGCTACTGTACTCTAGTCCGCATGACGGAGAGAAACCATATTTAAAAAAAAAAAAAAAAAAAAATTAGTCCTTGGGTTTCAATAGCAATTTCAAAGAGAAAGATATACCTTACCTCCAGAGAGCCTCTCACAAACAATTTTTTTTTCTAAATTACTCAGTTATTATCAAGAAATGCACATCTTGGAATCATCTCCCAACAGAAAAAAGGAATAGAAGACTGAGGTAATAAGGGACCTAGAAAAACATTTCACTAGATACAGAAAACAATTAGCATTATCTCGTAGATGGAAATATTTAAGTTGAATTTGTATTGAGTGCATGCTGTTTAAAATAATATAAATATTACTCAAGAGTACAATCTCCCTGGATGGGAAATTCACTGTCCTTCACAGACATTTCTATGAGAAAAATGCAGTGTGAGCTTCTAACAGCCGACTGTGACACACTTGGGAACCCAAACCATTCGTAAATTCAGGTTGTGGTAACATTCTAAATGTTCCTTAACAAAAAAAGTCAATTTCTTTGCAACTGTGATTTCCCTCAATTTTAGAGTATTGCCTCCTGTCATTAAAAAGTTCCTACACATGGATACGTTTTCTTCATTAAAAAAAAGTTGATTTCCCATTGTAATTTGATACCAAACAAAATAACACACTTGAAATCGCACCAGTCTTTCTTGGTTTCATTATTCCCTAGTGTCATTACTCCCTCTAGAGGCAGAAAACGTGAATCTGGTAAGTTTTTGAAATAAACCAAAAACACAAGCTAAAGAAAAAGTTAACTTTCTCTCTGTGAAAGTGTTAATTTAACTAGAAAAAGTTAATCAGCATAAATTGTATGATAAACAGTGAATTTCCTATCATTATTCAAGCACTCAAATAAGCCCGTCTACATTTAATATAAGGATCCGGATACAGCTCACTAAGTATCACATCGTCTCTGACGAGAAGACATGGAGCATAATATTCACATATGAGAAAAACAGAAATTACGGAATTGTTAGGCCCAACCTTATCTGGCAGTCTAGAAAGCAGCTCTGAATCATATGAGGAGCAGATATAAAATACCTGCTGTTTGATATAAACTTTAATTCAGAAAACGCACGAAGCAAAGAGATGGTTCCTTTTTCTTTTTTTTTTAAGACAGAGTCTCACTGTCACCCAGGCTGGAGTACAGTTGTGCGATCTCGGCTCACTGCAACCCTCCTGGGTTCAAGCAATTCTCCTGCGTCAGCCTCCCAAGCAGCTAGGAGTACAGGTGCCTACCACCGTGCCTGGCTAATTTTTTTTTTTTGTAGTAGAAATGGGGTTTCGTCATGTTTGCCAGGCTGGTCTCAAACTCCTGGCCTGAAGCAATCTGCCTGCCTTGGCCTCCCCAAGTGCTGGGATTACAGGCATGAACCACCACACCTGTCCCTTTTCTTCTCCATCACACCTGGCCCTTTTCTTATCACTGGTTTAACACATACTATTAATATTTTGATAGGTCTAATGTTTAGACACATGGATCATAAACAGATGAAAGGCAGCAAGATCTAATTTCACTGCCTAATTATAAGAGCTCAGGCTTGTTAATTTCATTTATTCTTTTTTTAACCCAGAGAATCTCAACTCTGGAGCACATTTTACCACCTGGGGCACTTTAAAAATTAACTTACCTTTGGGCCTCATCCTAGAAAACAGAATATTTCCCAGTGGACTAGGGTATCAGTAGTTTTCCAAAAATGCTACTCAGCTGGGTATGGTGGCTCACACGTATAAGCCCAGCACTTTGGGAAGCTGCGGCAGGAGGATTGCTTGAGCCTTTAATTTTGAGACCAGTGTGGGCAATACAGTGAGACCTCACCTCTACAAAAAATAAAAAAAATTAGCTGGGCATGGTGCTGTGTGTCCGTGGTACCAGCTACTCAGCAGGCTGAGTTGGGAAGATTACTTGAGCCCAGTTAGTCACGGCTGCAATGAGCCATGTTTTGGCCACTGCACTCCAGCCTGGGTGATACAGCAATATGGTCTCAAAAGAAAAAACAAAAACAACAACAAAAAGCACTAGTCAGCTAAAACTCTAAAGCACAGGAAACACAATGGAAAAAGATACATTGGACCTCATAATAGAATAGACATGCCTGAGTTGGAAAACCTGCTAGAGGTAATGTAGAAGGAAAGAGGAAGGGACAAACACTAGAAAATATAGATAGGAAAGACTAACATTCTCATAATAGATGTCCCGGAGAAAGGAAAAAAGGTAATGAGGAGAACACTGTTGAAGAAACAGTGCAGCTAGAATCTCCTGAATAAAAAACACAAGAAACGTCAGAATACTAGGGCTAGTTCTGAGAATATCAAGTAAGAGAGAAAAGAAAAACCCAGTTAGCAACATTACAGTGAAATGCAGAATATGAAAGACAAAAGCTTTTCAAGAGTATGTGGCACAAAGCAGATATGTAGTGTTTATAGAAAAACCAACAAAAGCATGAGATATCATAAAATCTTTCTTTCTTTCTTTTTTTTTTTTTTTTTGAGAGAGTCTCACTCTGTTGCCCAAGCTGTTTACTGCAACCTCCACCTCCTGGAAGCAAGTGATTCTCCTGCATCAGCCTCCCACGTGGCTGGGATTACAGATGTGCACCACTATGCCTGGCTAATTTTTGTATTTTTAGTAGAGACAGGGTTTCGCTATGTTGGTCAGGCTGGTCTTGAACTCCTGGCCTTAAGTGATCCGTTCACCTTGGTCTCTCAAAGTGTTGAGATTTCAGGCGTGAGCCACAATGCCCGACCAATATAAAAAAATCATCTAATCTTTATGAGGCAGCTAATTGTACCAGATCCAATTCTACTAGGGAAAAAACATAACACGATTAAATATTTAAGGTAATAAATTAAAAAGAATATCTGAATATTAGTTAAATGTCCCATATGTCAAGACTACAGTTAAAATTGTTCCTGGTCAAATTAGGATCTTATATCTCTTTGTTTCTGTTTAGGATATCATTTTCAGGAATAGCTGAAATCTATTCTCAAGGTAGGTTTCAATCAAGGCAGATCTTGGCCAGATGTAGTGGCTCACACCTGTAATCCCAGCACTTTGGGAGGCCGAGGCAGGCGGATCCCTTGAACTTAGGAGTTTGAGAACAGCCTGGGCAACATGGTGAAACCCTGTCTCCTCAAAAATATACAAAAATTAGCCAGGTATGGTGGCATGCACATGTAGTCCCAGCTCCTTGGGAGGCTGAGTTGGGAGGAAGGCTTGAGCCTGGGAGGTGGAGGTTGCAGTAAGCCGAGGTGTTGTCACTGCATTCCAGCCTGCGGAATAGAGCCAGACCTTGTCTCAAACAAACAAACAAAGGCTAGTTTAACTGTGCAGCATTTGAAGCACAACATATCCAATCTTCTTTTCAGTATGTCTTAGCAAAGCCTCAAGTGCTCTATTTGTATCTATGAATGCCAGGAGCTGTGGAAATGAAGAGGATGTAACAGACATGTATCTAACTTCCAGCTACTTTCAGTTTTCTAAGAAAAGTCAGCAAGTCAGGGGCTTCTCATAAACACATTATCTGGTAAAGAAATGTCCTGTATCTTTTACCATCCTTGTAACAGTTAAGACAGAAACTCAAGAAAGTTTTTCAGTAACGGCTTACCTGGTCAATATCAGCATTTCTTGGAAGAAAATAAACAATATTATTAGTAATCTTCTTAGAAAGTCTGAAAATTTCGAAGGTGGACAGCAGTTAAGGAAAAATAACAAAAACAGCAGCTAATTTCTAATCAGAAAGTGATGTGTTTAACCCATTGTAACTCAAATGTATTTCAAAATGTAACTAAAAGGCAAAAACTTAATCCTCTAATGGAACCTAAGAGAATTAAATACAGAATTTTGTAATTCAGCAACATATTGTCCCAATAGTTCAAAGATTAATAGTTAAATTGATTTATTCAATTATCCTAGTGGTAGGTACTGGGCAAGACTCAGAAATATAGACCCTTTCTCTGTCATTTCCTAATTACTGAGAAAACAGAATAGAAAATAGGAAAGCACAATCCCACTTCTTCCCAGTAAAGAATAAGGTAATCCTGGACATTGCAGTCAACACTCTAAATTACATTATAAAATTTTATTTATTTATTTATTTTTCAGACAGAGTCTGGCTCTGCTTATTATTTATTTATTTATTTATTTATTTATTTAAAGACAGGGTCCGGCTCTGCTGCCCAGGCTGGAGTGCAGTAGCACAATCTCAGTTCATGGCAACGTCTTCCAGTTTCAAGTGATCCTTGTGCCTCTGCCTCCCAAGTAGCTGGGATTACAGGATTACAGCTGCCACCACGCCCGGCTAATTTATGCTGTAATTTTTTTTTTTTTTTTAAGGCAGAGTTTTGCTCTGTCACTTAGGCTAGAGTGCAGTGGTGGGTTCAAACGATTCTCCTGCCTCAGCCTCCTGAGCAGCTGGGATTACAGGTGCCCACTACCACGCCCAGCTAATTCTTGCATTTTCAGCCGAGACCGGTTTCACCATGTTGGCCAGGCTGGTCTCAAACTCCTGACCTCAAGTGATTTGCCTGCCTTGGCCTCCCAAAGTGTTGGGATTGCCGGCGTGAGCCACCGTGCCTCACAGTATTACCTAAATTTAATAGCAATTTAGAAATATGTTTCCTGTTAAGAGTCAAACAGACAATTACTCTGGAGTGGCAGGTAGAGAAAGGGACAAACATTACTCTATGAAATAAGGATTTGCTTTGATATCCTGGAAGAGTAACTGTAAAAATTTGAAGGTACACAGCAAATTGGCCAGTGTCAATGTGAATTGAAGAATGTTACAGAATGGTTAGCCACAAACTCCAGGGATAAGTTTTGAGGAAATTCCCAATTTGCAGACAGTTAAGTCCAATACATGTATTCTAGTCCTTGTTTTATAATGGTAAAATTGAATAGCATGCAAGGAAAATATGACCTCATATTTCCCATTACTTTTGGAGATCAACCCCATCATTTTTACATACCTGCCTTTTATGTAAAATAAGCTAGAATTTGCCGGGCGCGGTGGCTCAAGCCTGTAATCCCAGCACTTTGGGAGGCCGAGGCGGGTGGATCATGAGGTCAAGAGATCGAGACCATCCTGGTCAACATGGTGAAACCCCGTCTCTACTAAAAATACAAAAAATTAGCTGGGCATGGTGGTGCGTGCCTGTAATCCCAGCTACTCAGGAGGCTGAGGCAGGAGAATTGCCTGAACCCAGGAGGCGGAGGTTGCGGTGAGCCGAGATCGCGCAATTGCACTCCAGCCTGGGTAACTTGAGTGAAACTCCGTCTCAAAAAAAAAAAAAAGCTAGAATTTGTCAAATGTTGTTAGCTAATATCGTCTCTCTTCACTAATTTCTCCCTCTGTTTTTTGAGACACAGTCCTGCTCTGTTGCTCAGGCTGGAGTGCGGTGGCGTGACCTCAGCTCACTGCAACCTCTGCCTCTCAGGTTAAAGTGATTCTCGTGCCTTGGCCTCCTGAATAGCTGGATTACAGGCACGTGCCACCATGCCAGGCTAATTTTTCTATTTTTAGTGGAGACGGGGTTTCACCATGTTGGCCAGGCTGATCTCAAACTCCTGACCTCAGGCGATCCACCTACCTCAGCCTCCCAAAGTGCTGGGATTACAGATGTGAGCCACCACACATGTAGACCCCCCCCCCCACCCCGCTACATTCCCTCTTTCTCTCACTCTCCTGCTCCTTTCTCTCCACAATCACTGTTTCAGTAAACTCTAAGGACTTCCAAAGGATATCCATCAGGAGACATCATCGTCCTAATGTCAAAGGTCTCTGCAGTGGCGTAGTCTGGCCCTCCCCAAGGTGGGCTGAGGAACACAACATCAGCCTTTAAACAAGCAGCCAGCAGCAAGAAATCTCCACAGATAAACTCTATCTTATCTGCTATTCCATAAACTTCTGCATTATTACGAGCAAGAGCAATCTTAACAGGATCGATATCAACAGCAATCACTACAAATGAGAAAAGAAAAAAATTAGTTAATTGACACTGATTATTACTTATATAGGATAGTTCATCTTTCGAATAGTCTGCCATCTTCTTTTTAAAGAGGAGACATCTGGCCACATATACCAGAGATATAGGCTTCAGTTTAAATTTTTTATTTAAATTAGAAAGAGTCGCTTGTGTTGTACCAAGGAAAACGTGACTGAGGGACTTGGCCTTCTTGTCTCACTCAGACAGCTCTTTCTAAGCAAGTTACAATACTTGCCACAAAAGATCTACTGAGGGCCAAATATGTGGCCACCATTGTGCTGAGAAGCAAACACTTGAAAAGGTCACTGACTGTATGTAGAACCTGTAACGCTAGGTTTTGGAAAAGACAAACTTCCTCAAAATGCAGCAATGCCCAAATGAACACAAATTCAACAACTTCTAAAGAAAACCAAAATAAAACACATTTTTACAAACTTATGTAGCCAAGTGACAAAGAAGAAATGTAAAGACACCTGCTGATAATGTTTAATGAGACATTGTAGGCAGAGGAAAGATAATAGTATGTTTCACCAAATGGACTTTCATTTACTTTATTCCAATTTCATAATTAGAAATACAGACATAATTTAAGTTTAGCCTGTCCATGTTTTGCAGTAAACTACTCAGTACACTTGCATGTGCACTAGTGTGTTAATGGCAGTATTCTTTATTTGAAAGGGCTAAGTGGAACTGTGACACATACAGCATGGTTGTCATGGAAATGCAGTTGTTTTCCAGAAAATGCTAGTTCCCAAATTTGTTAATATTTTTGAGAGAAATAATGTGCTAAATCACTTGAATAATAAATGTAAGCACCAATTATAATATAATGCGAAATCATATATTTACAATGCTGTTTTTCCTGTTCTAAATAAACTAACATTCACATTTGTAAGAGAAAAGATCCTTTTCAGCCTCTCAATCTGTTACATTTATAGTTCACAGACAGATGGAAAGATATGTTAATGAGACCAAAAATTCAAAAGAAAAAGTGACTTTCAACATCAAAATCTATTCAGTTAATCCTATTTTCATCTGTATTTCTTTTGGAGGCAGACTTGTTTTTAGGTCTAATAAGAATGAATGCATTCAATCTATCACACAAAAGAAATGCTGGCTGGGTGCAGTGGCTCATGCCTGTAGTCCCAGCACTTTGGGAGGCTAAGGCGGGTGGATTCCTTGAGCTCTGGAGTTCAAAATCCCATCTCTACCAAAAACACAAAAAATTAGTCAGGTGGGGTGGCATGTGCCGGTAGTCCCAGTTACTCGGGAGGTTTAGGTTGGAGAATGACTTGAGCCTGGGAGGAGAAGATTATAGTGAGCTGAGATTGCACCAAGGCACTCCAGCCTGTGTGAGAGAGTGAAACCCCTCCACCCCACAACCCCCTGATCCCCCCCGCAAAAAAAGCTGACAAATGTTAAACCTCAGCCACACTAGCACATCTTGACTGTGTAATGGCCACATGTGGCTACTGGCTATCATACTGGACAGCATAGATATAGAACATTTAGGTCTTCACAGAAAGTTCCACCCTGCAGTACTGATGCTGAACTACTGGAACACATAAAAAGGGGAAAAATATCTAAGAACAAACAGTAATATGTAAAACTTTACAGATTCCCTAACCCTTTAGTTATGCACAGACAGCAACTATCTGAATGGAAATAACTCTGGCACAAAGGGATAATCTCAACTATAAGTAATGCCATCTTTTCGTATATATGTGCGTATATATGTAAATGCATAAATACATATACAGTTCAAGCATAACTGTTTATACGAATGTGTATACATGAACACATAAACATACGATAGGGAATTCAAAACAGTTAAGTGAAATTGATATGTGTGTACTTACATATGTACACACAAACACACTAAATCAATTATACTTTGTCTTCAATTTCCTGCCGTAATGTAGTTAGCTCAACCATCCTAGGGAGATATTAGGAGGAGCACTGATAACTAACATTCATGGAGCACCAGCTTTGGGGGGCAAGTTATGGGACCCCACTACCCTGAACATGCTGGAGGGTTCCTGAGTTTCCAGTCACACGTGCTGCAAAGGCAGAAGGTCATGATAGCACTGGGAAGGCCACGGGTTTGCTATCTGCCTTTTTTTCCCCAGAGGTTGGCAATCTCTAAGGGAGAGTGATTAAAAAACACTATGGGGCGATGATGGGAGCTGGTCTATGAGAATATGGACAAAGTGGTCTCCCTTTAGCTTGGGACCCAAGCTAGACATTTGCCTTTACCAAATGTGCACTAAACTATAGAAAGCCTTGGCAAAAGATATATATCACAGAAATACAAATCTACGGGCTCACACCTTTAATCCCAGCACTTTGGGAGGCTGAGGTTGGAGTTCGAGACCAGCATGGCTAACATGGTGAAACCCCGTCTCTACTAAAAATACAAAAATTAGCTGGGGCTGGTGGCGCGTGCCTGTAGTCCCAGCTACTTGGGAGGCTGAGGCAGAAGAATTGCTTGAACCCGGGAGGCGGAGGTTGCAGTGAGTTGAGATCGAGCCACTGCACTCCAGCCTGGGTGACAGAGTGAGA